CGTAACGTCGTCCTTCCACGTCTCCGTGACCGAAACGACGTCCTTCTGCGGCTCTGGAAATTCTGCTGTTTCGAAAAGAACTAGCAAAACGGTTATCATTAAAATAAGCATTTTTATCAGCCTTCTTTTTAGCGTGCTCTTCAGCACGACGAATTCTTTTATCATCACCTGAATCAGACGCTACTTCCAGTAACTCGTACTCATTTATGGTAGACCACCCAAGATCTGAACCGTCAGCGATACGTATCAATTTATTTCTATGAGTTGTAGCATCCTTAGCTTCGGCAAGAAAGTCCTTAGCTTTAGACGCCTCTCTGTAGGAAACTGCCTTATTAATATTGTCAAGTAAGTCTAAAACAGTGTTATTGAACTCGAACTGTTTCCTGTTCTGATAAGACTTAAATGAAATTAAATTTAAGAATCCTTCTTTTCCTTCTTTGTCGCTGAAGAAACAGTCCACTCAGCATCACGTTTCAAATCACGTTGAAGCGAACTAAATTTGTCGTCAAAATAACCCTTCAATTCGGAGACTACTTCTTCCCTTGGAACTGTTGAAAAACTTGCACGTGGTGGCGAATTTTCCCGCGACATAATATTCTAAATAACTATAACTCTAAAGAACGTGTTAAAAGCTGTCATATACTGCCTCGAGTGAACACCCGAATATATACCTAACGTTACACACTGGTACAAAACACGTGCAAACCGTGCAATGTAATAAAATATGCATGAAACAAAATATGTTGTAGACTTATCAAAGCATAAACTAAACTATGGACTGGAATGAAATAACAAATGGGAAACGTGAATAATTTTATATAGAACAACAAAAACTGTTCAAGACTTTCATCTACCTTAAAAACTTTGGATTTAGATAGATCCCAAAAATGATGCAAGAGAAGCAAAATCTGGACTTTGACACCCCTGTGAATAGGGTGACGACACTTTGTATAAAAATTGGCCCAACCCTGGTGATCAAGTAATTTATGTAAACTTAATACATAATTTATTACCACATCTTAAAATGTTCTACTCCTTAACAAAAGCCCAGAGGTTACATATTCATTGGCATGAAGCTTTATTTTGAATTCTTCAAAAGTTCAATATTTATTGATCATAACCAGGAAGTTTAAATTGTTCATGCTTTAGGTAGACTAATGTATAGAAAAACTTGTCTTGAAAACTATAATGCCCAGTATAGCATTGCCTAGTAACTTCTACAAGTTATATGAACTTGGCTGTATTGTTTGTGGTATAAAGACATAACCAACTCTATACAAAATATGAAGATGGCAAGATACCTTAGGGTGCATAATAAGGACTCTTGTATATCAGATAGTATTTTCTGTTAATCTCAAACTAGAACTATCATTAATGTAATAAATACCCCGCAAGACTGCTTCAGACATGTGGAAGTAACAGAATATTAAAGAAGTATTATCTCCCTTTGCATTGAATACTATAGTATCCGTTAAACCGACCAACTTTCACTACGCTATAACATCATGATAAAGAACACACCGTATTACCGGCGCCAGTGATGGCAGATAGCTGAAATTTACCGCTCGGTACAGGTAGGTTATAAATTTGGTTGGTATTATCATATTACACAAATACGGCCCATTTAATTGCCATGAAACTACTGTCCATTGACTTGAGATACTATTAGGTTATTTTGGACTCGTTTTTTCCTGTTTTTAGCTCACCTGTCACAAAGTGACAGGGTGAGCTTTGCGTCCGTCCGTCGTCCGTCCGTAAACTTTTGCTTCAAATGACATCTCCTCATAAACCACTAAGCCAATTTCATCCAAACTTCACAGGAATGTTCCTTTGGTGGTCACCTTTAAAAACTGTTCAAAGAATTTAATTCCATGCAGAACTCTGGTTGTCATGGCAACCGAAAGAAAAAACTTTAAATATCTTCTTTTAAAGAACCCAAAGAGCTAGAGCTTAGATATTTAGCATGAAACATCTTCTAATGAGCGTCTACCAAGTTTGTTCAAATAAAAGCCCTGGGGTCAAAATCGGCCCCGCCCCAGGGGGTCATTGATTTTCCCTATATGCATATAGTAAAAACTTTAAAAAATCTTCTTTTAAAGAACCCAAAGAGCTAGAGCTTAGATATTTGGCATGAAACATTTTCTAATGAGTGTCTACCAAGTTTGTTCAAATAAAAGCCCTGGGGTCAAAATTGGCCCCGCCCCAGGGGGTCATTGATTTTCCCTATATGCATATAGTAAAAACTTAAAAAATCTTCTTTTAAAGAACCCAAAGAGCTAGAGCTAAGATATGTAGCATGAAACATCTTCTAGTGAGTGTCTACCAAGTTTGTTCAAATAAAAGCCCTGGGGTCAAAATTGGCCCCGCACCATGGGGGTCATTGATTTTCCCTATATGCATATAGTAAAAACTTAAGAAATCTTCTTTTAAAGAACTCAAAGAGCTAGAGCTAAGATATTTAGCATGAAACATGTTCTAATGGGTGTCTACTAAGTTTGTTCAAATAAAAGCCCTGGGGTCAAAATTGGCCCCGTCCCAGGGGGTCATTGATTTTCCCTATATGCATATAGTAAAAACTTAAAAAAATCTTCTTTTAAAGAACCCAAAGAGCTAGAGTTTAGATATTAAGCATGAAACATCTTCTATTAAGTGCCTACAAAGTTTGTTCAAATAAAAGCCCTTGGGTCAAAACTGGCCCCGCCCCAGGGGTGTCATTGTTTTTATCTATATGTGTATAGTAAAAACTTAAAAAATTTTCTTTAAAAAAACCCAATGAGCTAGAGCTAGGATGTTTAGCATGAAACATCTCCTTATGGGTGTCTACCAAGTTTGTACAAATAAAAAGCCTTGGGTTAAAGTAAACTCTGTTGGGGGGGGGGGGGGGGGGGGGAGGAAGGTCATTGTTTTTTCCTTATATGTGTATAGCAAAAACTTAACATCATGAAACATCTTCTAATGGGTGTCTTAATTCCAAGTTTGTTCAAATAAAAGCCCTGGGGTTTAAACTGGCGCCGCTTCGGGGGGCCTATATACAGGTGAGCGACCTCAGGGCCATCATGGCCCTCTTGTTAGACTATTTTGAGCAGGTTAAAAGTGACAGCTTAGGAAAAATCCGTGAAAATGACTGTTTTTTGTTCAAAATATCTCAAGTTTTAACTAAATGGCAGGATTTCTGTTATTAATATAGACGTTCATCCATTGGGGTCACGCAAGCCAAACATCTACCCCGTGAGTCTTTTCTTAAAAGTTTTACAGACGTTCAATCTGGTCCGGTCGAAGAAAAAATGCTGCCGTTGTAGGCAGATACTTATTTAAAATGCTGCCATCGATGGCAGAAATACCATGAAAGTGGCTAACATTCTGACAGAAAATCAAGGTCAATCTTTTATCAATTCCTCTATTCTTTGCGCCCTTTTAGTCGGTATTGAGACGTTAAACTATCATTTCTAATATTTTCTCATCGAAAAAGCTTTTTAGCAACACGCAGTTACAATACAAAATGTGATGATTCAGTACGACCAAATTGCACTTTAAATAGAGCAATTAACATGAAGAAATTCATTTTTCTATATTCATGCATGTGTGCTTGATCTGTTGTGTCTGTCAGTTACATGCATACAATACCATAATTTTTTATGTATCTTAAGTTTAGCAGCGCATAATTCACTTCCTTTTCAAGACATAACGCCATTTGCATATTACAGCGAGTAACTACAGTAAGTGGATATTCATTTGCTAGCATATGACATTATTTTCTCGAGGTAATAATGTTCATCGCTTTATGACATATAAAGGCTGAAATTTACTTCGTCGGCGCTAATGCTGCAGATTATAAGTTACCTAGCAATCTCTAAAACCATTATCTAAACATTTAAATTTCATGTTTGTCCTTTAAATATTATGAAATTCATGTTTGCCTTTTCTAAAGGAGTGAAAATTGATTTGTTACTGAGGCATAATGTGCCTTTAATACAAATGCAGTTGGCTCTAGCTTAACATTGAAATCCCCATTCAAAACGACACCGTTTTAGTTCTATATAATACATGAATTCTTAGTAAAATAGTGTAAAATAAATAGGTGGCAAAAGGTTACAGGCATCGACATTATTCATTTACATGCAAGTTTTTAATTTTCAGTTTATTTTAAAACCAAACAATCATGACCTACTTTGCAGATAAATGACCATAATTCACTAGAAAGAATAAATTCACTCTCTTTTCCCAGCATATTATAATGGTCTGACTCTATAGGTAATTTAATTATGATAATTAATAATGCAGCATAAAGCAGACATTTCTGGTATACATCTAGTAACGTACCTTTCGAATAACTGCGGACAATGTACATGCATTTTCAGAAAGTAGTTCGTCTTCAAAATATATGACGGACAAATACAAGGTCCCGACAGTTTTTGATAAACAATGTTTTTTAAAGATTTTTTTTGCCATGGCAAACGAGAAATATTTTTTTCCAGATTTTTGTGTCTTTTGATGAAGTTCTTGACTTATAACTTGTATGCCAAATTTCAGATCATTCGCTCACACCGTTTTTTTCCCTGAATTATTACATGTATTTAATTGTAAAAAAGTGATCCAAAAATGAAAATCATTTCAACGCTTTTAACTCAAATCAGGCTAAAAATAGCACAAAAATACGATTCATTTCGAGTAAATTTCGTTATTGCGATTTGTATTTTTTTCTCTCTTTTTAGGAGACTCAGGTATACAATCTTTGTTTTATGTTTCTAAAGGCTTTTAAACCTCATCGGAATTCCTTTAAAGGCCAATTATGCCGCAGAAATGTTTTTATTTTTATTTCACAAAATCTTTTTAATGTTAATGCACTTTTATAGCATCCAAAAAAAAAAGTTACTCATTAGCCAACTACCTGAACCATCTTACTCATCTATTGCATGTTGGTAATATGTACATTGTATACAGTTATAGTGAATTAGTATTTTGTATTGAAAAAAAATACTACTTTGTTTACAGTTTGCTACGTTTTATGACAAATTATTTCACATTTATGGCTTATTCTTCATGTTACAAGTATCTAATGTTTTATTAAACCATTATATAAACATTCATGTTTCTCTTTCTAAGCAGTAAAACATTTTTTTCTGAGGCATAATCTATAATTAAGCTTTCTATAATTATATTTCTAACTTGGGAGGTGATCACTAAGTTTTATTTTTTTTTATCCCATAAAAAAAGGAATTGAGACAGTTGTATATTTATTTATAGAATGCATTATAAGACACATTTGTTGTGAATAAATAAATAATTTAACATAGAGAAATAAACTTGTCCGTGCAAGTAAATATTGTTTGTGTTGGATTTTATCACCTTATTTTTAATCCGACTTAGATATGATTCCCGCGTCCAGTAGTTTGTCGATATATATTGTTAAAATTGGTCACGATTACAGGAACCGGAAGTGCTATGGCAAGAAGTCCAGACAGCACACACATACTTCCAATAATTTTTCCCAGAGTTCCTGTCGGATATACATCCCCGTATCCGACTGTTGTCATAGATATCACAGCCCACCAGAATGCATCAGGAATACTGGTGAAAAACGACTCCTCCGACTGTGCCTCCGCGTAAAAAATAGCACCCGCGAAAATCACAACAGCAATACTTAGGAACAGTACGAACATAGACAATTCACGTAAACTGACTTGCATCGTTTTCGCGAGGATCTGAAGTCCGTCTGAAAATCTACTCAGCTTGAAAATCCTTGCCACTCTCAGCACCCTTAGTACCGAAAGAATCCGACTGTTGTTTTCACAACTGTTAGTGATGAAGAACGCAATCATAAAAACAAAGTAGGGTGCAATAGACAAAATGTCAATCCAGTTAACAAGATTCTTAACGAACTTCAATTTTGAAGGACACACTATGAACCGAATTAGCAGTTCAAACACAAACCAGAGAATGCAGGAAGATTCGATAATAAATAAGGGGTCAGAGTAATTGAACTTCTTGATTGATGATGGATTACCGTCTGCGTCATACACAGTTGCATTCGTACAGTCTTTGTTCTTAAACTGAGGTAGGGTTTCGATACAAAATGTTACTATAGACGTTAAGATAAATACAACCGAAACGATGGCGATTACGTTGGAAATCACTGAACTACCCGGATATTCGAATATTTCCCATATCACCCTGCTAATTTTATGTTCCGGCATTTCAATGTCGTCCGAATTATCAAGCAGAAACCCTTCCGACACTTTGAATGAATCAATCACTGCATCTCCAAGTTGGAAAAACTCCAATTCTTCTATGAATATATCTACAGGTACCTCGACTGGGCGTTTGAGTCGGCCACCACTCTGATAATAGTAAAGTATTGCATTAAAAGATGGACGGTGGCGATCGAAAAAATATTCATTCTTAGCAGAAATCCAGAACTGCTCCCGTTTAGACGCATTTCCGAGCAAAGTGGAGGGCAATCGATTAAGGGTTTTCAGCTGTGTCTCAAACTTAAGGCCTGCGACATTAATGGTAACACGTTTACAATTTTCTGCCTCACAATCATGCTCGGAGTTTACTTCGTCTTCTGCTACAGGTTCCGGTTTCACCTCTTGCGTTATCAAAGGTTCCAGAGCGTTAAGCTCAATATCATTGTTATTCTGTTTAGTAGAGTGATGCAGGAGCTTAATACTACCGCCAGAATGTGTCCGTCTGTGCGTCAAAGCTGGTGATCCATGAATTGTCGTTGGTGGCTGACGGAAGAGCACTAGAGGGTCTGAACGTAGAGTGTATCCTTGCGCCTGATAGGCCGCGTCAGTAGAATTCCTGGCAACAAAATGCATGCTGACTATCGACAAAGTCACTTTTCACAGAAAATCAAGTAACTTTTATTATCTCGCATGGACTCAAATTTGTTTGATTAAATCCAAATTATTAAAGTTTCCAGTCCTAAACACGCCAAATCAGTACAAAAGTTATCAGTTTATAGAAAGCTTTTACATAAATCAGCAAGTTTTTCACATGTCGGCTTTTGTACAAATTATGTACAAATGCGTCTTAACGAATAGAATTTATCGCAGCATATCTATAATCGCCTTATTTTGCATAAATTGTAAGAAAAATACCTCCTTCGATTTAACACCCGATCATATATTAAAAACCGAAACAATTCCATCCATAATCATTTTAAATCCCTGGTTAAACTTAAACAAGAAAAAGTCAACAGTTGTATATACTTCTAAAGGTCTAAACCTATATACGAAAATATGTATAACGTGACAGTGCAAAATGAATAGAAGGGGTTGTATATTTTGTGTATGCGCGTATAATAGAGAGAAAAATAACAAAGGGTAATTTGATATACAAATTGCTGGAGATATTTTCATTTTTTTGCCCTTATAAACTAGAAAATGGACTGTAAATAAATCTAAAAAAATTATATTGCAGGTTCAGATATACACGGTGTCGTAGTAAGATAATTGCAGTGTGAAAAAAAATCTCAATATAACTCCAAATGTGCTAATTTGAACCTTTAGTCACCCATCTTATAACTGATTTATTTAGCATTTTGGTTAAGTGTAAGAATATCTTGCTACTTGGTTCACATATATAATAAATTATTTATAATGTACAACGTCATGTACTTATACATCAATTTCTAAATCGGCAAAGTCCGTGAGGACATTTGCCCCCATTTCGCCATTCAACGATTGCCTAATAGTGCCCGGCCGTATATTATCGAAGAACGTCGGAAATTCACACGCAGTAAACTTGATAAGTCTCACTTCATATATCTTTTACCAAAGGGTAATGTGAACAAGAACAAAACAGCCCCCTCCCCATCCTCACAAAACAACAACAACAACAAAAATGTAATAATTATCAAATTTGCTTGTTCTAATATTTTGAAACGATGAAAATAACAAATTTATCATCATAAATAATGTACAGAGAAAAAATGATACCATTTTCACAAAATAAAAATGAGCCGTGTCACGACAAAACCAACATAATGGGTTTGCGACCAGCATGGATCCAGACCAGCCTGCGCATCCGCGCAGTCTGATCAGGATCCATGCTGTTCGCTATCAGTTTCTCTACTTGTAATAGGGTTTGTAAGCGAACAGCATGGATCCTGATCAGACTGCGCGGATGCGCAGGCTGGTCTGGATCCATGCTGGTCGCAAACCCATTATGTTGGTTTTGTCGTGACGCGGCTCAAATGATTATCCAGTGGCGAGGATCCTCAAAACACATGTATGACTCAACTATAATGTTTCTGTTACAGTATTTTTAACTAACAACGACATCTCTGATTTTTATCATTATTCTAAAATTACGGACTCGGTACACCACCTTTAAAATCTGTTAACACTTTCATGTATAGGTAATTCTTTATATAAAAGGTCAGCATTTACTTTATAAAGTGTATTGAAGTATTTAATTTTACGTATATCGAATACAAGACAGTTAAATTTCTACCTTTTATATAGATAAACTTTTATCACAAATTCGCGGTGTATGTAAACATTGGCCTCAAATAGTTATTTTGTTGTGATTTTGTTCAACACTGGCTGTTAACCATAGATTTAAATTTATAAAAATACTCCAAAAGCCCATTACACAAAGCAATTTATCTCCACAGTGTCGTATAGCTTTTTTGTTCACATATCTACATCGATTTATCCATTGAATTTTCTTACTGTTTAACATAATTTTATACACAAAAAAAAAGATCGTTTGACGTAAACAAAATAAATATTGAACAATAAGTTTCCCCCCAAAATTCAGATAATACAGAAGTTTAAAACTTCAAACAGTTTTAAAATCCTTTATGAAACAATGAATTCCTAAACAATTTATTTAAATTGTTTATCTTGCTTTTAAACAGGAATCGTCTATAGTAAAACAAAGTTTAACCGTTTCGTACCCGCACTTATTCTTTAATTCTATCATTTTAACAATATCCAATTGTTTGTCAATGCAACCTGTTCATTGTATCTTTATTTTGACACTTTGACCCCGTCAGAAAAAGAGATAATACAAATATTTCGGTATTTTTTATCAATTATTTCTGTTTACTGTATCGTTTTCAATTCTTACAAAAGTTGTGACATTCAGACGATAATTAGATAACACTTATTTTATACCGCTGCAAATTATCTCCCGTTCTTATTCTTTTTGGCGCGAGTACATTGGCGATATATCACAGAACGGCAACGTACGACTTTCAACGCCAATGCCAAAACAAGTTATGTCTGAGGACGTGCCACTCAAGTTTTCTCCAATGATAGTATAATTTAAGTAAAGTCGAAAAAGGGCTACAACTATGCAAAAATAATTTGAGAATATAATTTATCTGCCATTTTGAAATTGTGTCATACATGTTTTTCGATGGTTAATGCTTAATGCATGTATAAATAAACTAGAACTGCCACTATCATGGCGTGAATACCCCCGCATACCACTTTGTCAGAATCAACAGTGGCCATTTAGAGCTCAAGGACAACCTCCCTGCCAAATATGAGGTTACTAAGCCAGTGCATTGCTAAGTAATGTATTCTACATGCTTCAAATGTGAAAATGTCAAAATCAATATCTTGCAGACAGGACATACTTTAGCAATTGAGAAGAAAAGCTTTTTTTGTCAAGGTCCCTGTGACCTTGACCTTTGACCCAGTGACCTCAAAATCAATAGGGGTCACCTTATAGTCATGACCAACATCCATGCCAAATATGAAGACTGTGGGTCAAAGGAATCTTAAGTTATTGGGCGGACAAGCTTTTTGAAGTCAAGGCCCCTGTGACCTTGACCTTTGACCTGGTGACCTCAAAATCAATAGGGGTCATCTACTAATCATGACTAACCTCCATGCCAAATATGAAGACTGTGGGTCAAAGGAATCTTAAGTTATTGGGCGGACAAGCTTTTTGAAGTCAAGGCCCCTGTGACCTTGACCTTTGACATGGTGACCTCAAAATCAATAGGGGTCATCTACTAATCATGACTAACCTCCATGCCAAATATGAAGACTGTGGGTCAAAGGAATCTTAAGTTATTGGGCAGACAAGCTTTTTGAAGTCAAGGCCCCTGTGACCTTGACCTTTGACCTGGTGACCTCAAAATCAATAGGGGTCATCTACTAATCAAGACTAACCTCCATGCCAAATATGAAGACTGTGGGTCTAAGGAATCTTAAGTTATTGGGCGGACAAGCTTTTTGAAGTCAAGGCCCCTGTGACCTTGACCTTTGACCTAGTGACCTCAAAATCAATAGGGGTCATCTACTAATCATGACTAACCTCCATGCCAAATATGAAGACTAAGGGTCTAAGGAATCTTAAGTTATTGGGCGGACAAGAAAAAACCGACGGACAGCCGGACGGACGGCCGGACGGACAAGCTGATTCCAGTATACCCCCCTTACAACTTTGTTGTGCGGGGTATAATTAACATGTACATCACTTTTTGAATGGAAAGTTTTCTTTCCTGAGAAAATGGACCTTAACGAAAAGGTTAAGACTCCTGTTTTATTAAAAAAGAAAACACTCTGAAGTTTTGTTATTGTTGATGCTTAAAGCAGCAAGATAGTGTTTTGGTGGGATTTTACGTCGCATCAACACTGTAATGGTCAATGGGGACTTTGCAGCTTTACTGGTGGAGAAAGACCTCGGATGCCCCTCCACACATTAATTCAGGCAGGTTGGAACAAAATTGAACCCAAATCTAAGAAAAACAAGAGGGCAATAATGGCTCTGAGATCACTAACCTGTATATAGCATCCCCCCCCCCCCCTGGGCGGGGCCAATTTTAACCCAGGGGCTTTTATTTGAACCAACTTGGTAAACACCCATTAGAAGATGTTTCATGATAAATATCTAAGCTCTAGCTCTTTTGGGTTTTTACAAGATTTTTTTTAAAGTTTTTACTATACACATATAGGGAAAAACAATGACCCCATCCTTGGCGGGGCCAATTTTGACCCAAGGGCTTTTATTTGAACAAAATTGGTAGACACCCACTAGATGATGTTTCATGCTTTATATCTAACCTTTAGCTATTTGGGGTTTTTATAGAAGATTTTTATGTTAACTATATAAAAATAAGGAAAATCAATGACCCTGGGGCGGGGCCAATTTTAATCCTAGGGCCCTTTTTTTGAACAAACTTGGTAGACACTCATAAGAAGATGTTTCATACTAAATATCTTAGCTCTTAGGGTTTTTTTTTTAAAGAAGATTTTTTAAGTGTTTACTATATACATCAAGGAAAAATCAATGACCACTGGGGCGGAGCCAATATTGACCCCAGGGCTTTTATTTGAACAAACTTGGTAGACACTCACTAGATGATGTTTCATGCCAAATATTTAAGCTCTAGCTCTTTCGGTTTTTTAAAAAGATTTTTTAAGATTTTCAGCATGGAATTAAATTCTTTGAACAATTTTTAAAGTTGACTACCAAAGGAACATTCCTGTGAAGTTTGGATGAAATTTACTTAGGGGATTATGAGGAGATGTCGTTTAAAGTAAAACGGACCAAGACAAAAAGCGATCACAAAAGCTCACCAAGTCACTTTTTGACAGGTGAGCTAATAAACCCAAATGAGACAAAACTAATTGAAATCCAGTTCAGATTTTCAAAGTTTTAATGCAACATATAAAGTCACATCTGAAGAGAAAAGCTGGAGTTAACAATACAATTGGTCTGAAGCACTTCTGCAAAATTTACAATTATTTAATATAATATACCATTTCTGTAAGACTGAACTAAAATGTGTTAGTAATTAATACAACAAAAAACAACAACAAAATCTGTAATTACTATAAATATGTGTATATGGTAATTTATTACATTATTATATAATGGTAATAGATAAAACAAATCAATAATGTTAAGGTATTGCACCAATACTTGGCAATAATCCAAGATTTAGACTTTACACAAATATGACAAAAATCAAATTTAATATAAGTATTAGAATATTTTCAGAAATATATAGATAGTAACAATCCATGTGAAGTTATGCATATTTAATTTTGTTTGGTTTGGTTGTGTTTTTATAGTCATGCCAAAACTTTTTTAATTCAAAAATGTCATATGGTGAAATTCCTGCTTTATTAATTGGTGGAAGGAGACTTAAGGTCAGGTGTCTCTATTTTTGCCCGGATAGGTAAGGTATGACATTATTTACTATTTTAGTCATCGTTTTTCTACACTTTTAAAAAGAAAGATGTAATTTTTCTTTAAAAGATTGAAGGGACTCCAATGGAATTTTTTTTTGACATGAAGAGACAGGATTTTTTTTTTTGAGTTTTATGAACCAAGTTTTTTGTACCATTTGATGAGACCTGAACAATAACATGTGTGCAAAATTTTAGATCCCATTCATCTTTAACTTAGTCGAGTCTAAGAATAGCATAATTATATATATATATACGATATCTAATCTAATTCTGATTATGTTTCTTTATTTTCTGCATTTACTATTTTGAAATATTTACTAAATTGTTGTAATGTAAAAGAAGTATTTGTGGTTGGAATTACCCTGTGTTCCACATACTTACAGCCAACAAGTCAAAATTTTCCAAACACTATATGACCAATATAAATTCATGTTCCAAATACAAAATGGCTAAGTTTAACAAATTTTCAAAATACAAAAATGGCTAAAATTTCTAAATATTGAACAGCTTAAATAAACATATTTTCCAAATTTTTAAAGTCTGAAATTTCCATATTTCCGAAATACTATACGACCAACATAAATATATTTCCAAATACAAAGTGGCTAAATCAGACAAATTTTCCAAGTACAAAATTGCCAAGTTTTCCTAATGGCTGAAATTGCCTTCTATGGGTGCAATACCTTCACTAAATTTAACAATATTCTATAACTGCTCAGATATTCTTAACAAGTGTTTTACCTAAACAAGCATACCTTAACAAATAAATAATCAATAAAATTCGGTACCTCCACATATTTTAAAAAGCAAAAAATAATAAACTATATGATAAAAAAACAACGTAATGTGTGAAAACTATTATCTACATAGTTTAAAATTTGCTACTAGGGACTGAAATGATAGTATATGTAGTATAACATATGATATAGGACTGAACAGCAGGTATCAATACTTTACAACTAAAGGGCAGTTAATAAATACCCATATTGCGCAACCATAACAGGCACTAACTCATTTATCATTCTATCAAGAAACAAGGCAAAGTAATTAATACAAAAACTACAGCTACTTTGTCTGATATTTTGTCACATAATTTAGCATGGTTATCAAATCCAGTCATTACCTTTAAAAAAAAAAAAAAAAAAAAAAAAAAAACCTAGAAAACATATGGTGTAAAAAATGATGGTGTAAAAAAATTTGTTTACATAATTATTTAAAAATTTTAATTAAAAACCCAAATAAATGGGTCTTAATTAAATTTTTGGTTATTTACAAATTTAAATTACTTTTTTTTTTATTAAATTTAAAGCTTAAGGATATTATTTTTCCAAAACTTATTTTCATGCGATCAAAAGATGGGATACATGTCTATTGTTTTCCAAATATATTTGTTTTTCAAGCCAAAAAACATAAATTTTTAAAATGACTATTAAGATTTCGGTAAAACATGATTGAAAAAATTTTAATCGCGGAATGGTTTTTCTGCTTAAAAAATGGAGAGTATGTTATTTAGGGGTTTTGATAAATAAGACCGCAACGAATTTAATCCAGTTTTGTGAAAAGAATGTGCCGCCAGAAAAAAAATCCGCCAGAAATTAAAAAACCTGTTGAAAAAAGCACCGAAAAATTTTGGGGCCCTTGTTAATTTTTTTCTAAGACATATTTTTTATTTGTCCATATGACTCATTTATAAAGTATAATTCAGGAAATTTTTCACTTGTCATAGACTATGGGACAATCTGGGCAATATGGACAGTTAACTTGTTTAATTTCTCAAACAGACTTTTCAAACTTCCATTCTTTTTGTCCATGATCCATAATGAATTTTGGTGATATCAAGATATAAATTCAAAGTTAGTCAGCTAACAATAGTATAATACAGTATGGTCAGACTGTACAGATATAAAGGCTGGCTTTTACATACATGTACAGTACATTGTATCCTCAACATTTCAGTCTATATTTTCTTTTATTTTACTTATATCAATTCAATAACTTAGATTATTCTGATCCCAAACTTGGTAATAAGATAACAAAGTTAATGGTGAGATTTCCAAAATGTTTCATAACTTGACCCTGAACATCATATTCCAACACCCCAAAATAAAGCCTTCGTTCAAAGGTACATTGTTTTTAAGTATCAAGGCTCTGACTTATAATATGGGAATAAAATATCCAAAAAGTTAAAATGACATTATGCTATAGTGAGTGAACAGATGAAAGTCCAAATAAGTTTAAATTCTGTCATTATCCATTTAATTTTACAATTTACTTTGCATGAACGATAAATGAATCATGTTTACCTGCACTGTTCAATTTATAAAAAGTGTGAGGCTGTCTTTTTTTTTTTATTTTAGGCAGATTTATATTTTATACTAAACATTTCCCAATATCAACTTTAAACTTCTTTTGGTCAATCACCATAATAATAGTCAATCTTTAAAAATATATATAAGTCAATTAAGCTCAACTTGACAATGCAAAAATGAGTATAATGTCACTTTTAAAGTTCTCAAAAAAAAAAAAAAAAAAAAAGCAGGAAAAATCATATGCTTCAATCATTTAAAGCTACATTAAATAAATATGTAAAAATATTTTTGCCGTCGGCCTAAAAACAAAGCATTCTACAGTTTCATTAACCTTTTTAACAGTATCGTTATAAATCTCATCAAATACTGTTCATAAATTAGGATTTTAAATGGAAAACTCCACGGTAACACTAAAGTTTGTATACGAATTTTAACATGCAAATGAAGACTATATTCAGCTCGTGTATGCGCTACGTCACGGTGTTATAGTTGCTATCCGGAACACAGCAAATATAAGATTTTCTTGTGCAAACACGATTTAACCGTTTAAGCTTCACGGTGCACTAGGCCTGGGGATCAGAAAAATTAATCATCTCATAAAAAAGATTAAATTTGTATGAAAATAACCGTTACAACGCGGAAATATACCGTTGAATTAGGACTGCTACTTATAGTAATGTTTGTTGATTTAACATTGATGTACGGATGATCTGAAGGCGGAGTTTCTCATGCAAACAAAAATTGTACTTCCGAATTCGCCACAATGAGGTTGCACATTTGTATGCTCATAAAACTCATTTTGGTTGTCTGGACACCAAAATAAGACCTGGAGTCGATATGAAACCCAATTTATTAAAGGGACTCCACTGAGGTTTAAAAGCCTAAAAACATAACATTTGAATGTCTTACATAAATGAGCTGCGGCACTTTAAACAGAAATATAAGAAAATACAGTTAAGCAATATACTTTGAAATAAATAGAAAATCGTATTTTTATGCTTTTCTTAGCCGGATTTGAGTGTAAAGCGTTTAAACGCTTTTCATTTTGGGTCATTTTTTTACAATTTGAATAATTACTCTGGAAAAAACGAAGTGCGCGAATGGTCTGAAATTTTGCATTAAAGATTATTGGTCTATCAGGACATTTATCTGGAAAAAATATTTTCAGTCCCATCATGTCAAAAAACCTCAGTGGAGTCCCTTTAATGAAATGTCGCTATTTCTGTTTTTATGAAATTTATTAAATGTAACTTTAATGCCGGAAGGGGGGGGGGGGGATAAAAATATCTTTAAATGTTAGTATCAATCTGTATAAATCAATATGCTAATTTATTTCCGAGTCTTAACTATGTAGCATTATTTCTTATACATTGCATATGTAACAAAATTTTGAGTGAGGGGGTTAGAAAAAGCACAAATACACAAAAAAGAATCTACAAGTATGAGGGCTGGAACACACAAGTCTAAATCCAAAATATCATAAAAGTTGTATCCTTCTACAACAAGGAGGAAAAACAAACAACAGAGGGTAAAACATGGGAAGAAAAAAACATATGAAAACAATTTATAACCAACCAGTTGATTATTTTGGTGCAGCGTAATAACACAAGTTGCCATCCAAATAAATCCAAGTATTCGCTACTTATCTGATCGCAGATTCACTCATACATATTTAAATTCACTTGTAAACTAAATAACTAAAAATATCTCACACAATATATAAGTGTATTGCTAACTTTTGCCTGCGTCAGATTGATAGTTACTACACGAGGGGGCGTGGTTATCACCAGGGGGCGGAGTTGACGAGGCATTCTTCTTTAAAGTGTCCAAATATTCTTGCTGCGACTGGGCTATCACTTGAGCTAAAATATCTTCTTCACTATAGTTTGCAAAGTCAGCTGAAATATGATTATGAATAAAATTAATTCTTTTTTGGGAAATCAAGTTATCTAAGCCACTGCATACTTTAAAGTTTTACATTCAATATAGGCCATGACATATTTTAAGGCTTACATTCAATATGGGCCATGACATATTTTAAGGCTTACATTCAATATAGGCCATGACATATTCTAAGGCTTACATTCAATATAGGCCATGGCATATTTAAAGGCTTACATTCAATATAAGCCATGGCATATTTTAAGGCTTACATTCAATATGGGCCATGACATATTTTAAGGCTTACATTCAATATAGGCCATGACATATTTTAAGGCTTACATTCAATGTAGGCCATGGCATATTTAAAGGCTTACATTCAATATAGGCCATGACATATTTTAAGGCTTACATTCAATATAGGCCATGGCATATTTAAAGGCTTACATTCAATATAGGCCATGGCATATTTAAAGGCTTACATTCAATATAGGCCATGGCATATTTTAAGGCTTACATTCAATATAGGCCATTGCATATCTTAAGGCTTACATTCAATATAGGCTATGGCATATCTTAAGGCTTACATTCAATATAGGCCATATTTTAAAGTTTACATCAAACTCATACGATTCTCATACAAGTTTTTCGAAATCTTATAAAATTCTTCAACACAGGAATGTAAATATGATATGAGCCAATGCATTTTTAAATGGAAATGTGTACATGTAAGTGCAACATTGAACAACTGACAGTGAACTGGTGGTCAAGAATTCAATCATGACTTTCTCTCAAGTTATAATGGGGTTAAGCCTTAGGGTTCATGACCAAGTCTATTCATAAATCACAACATCAGTCCTGGTTCGTTCAACGAAGCAGATATGTTAAAGGTTCAAATACGCTCCATTGCAATCTAAGATGAATACTTTTATACTACAATAACTATATTGTTCAGTGTTTAGAACATTTGAATATGAATATGTCAGTCTGTGTTCACCCATTCCTATGAAAGAAAATGAGATTTCACAAACTTGTAACACTGAACAAGTTCAAATGATTATCCGACTTACCATAAATGGATTGCGGGTACTGGTTTACCAGAGAACTGGTCTCAAACTCATAACCTCCGGTTGCTCCCTCCTGTACATCAGATCCTATCGGCACTTGCATAGGCTTCGGGGAAGAACCTAAATCATAAATATATAACAAAATGTTTCTATGCGTAACTTATAATACATCAGATTCTCCCTGCACTTGCACAGGCATCAGTTGACAGCATTATTAAAAGTTCCTGAATGTTACTTGAGACTACAGTTTTATCTCACTTACAGAGCCACATTTAATGCTTTAGGCCACAACATTTTTGTTTAGGACAAATGTTTAACAAGAAATATCATATCACAACATTAAAATGAAAACCTCAGCCTGCTGGCAGCTATTGTTTCTACCAACAAGACCAAGAACAGTCAGCCAACTGATCATAGTCTTCACTATTCAGTAAATACAAATTTTGAAATTTTTGCCAGAAAAGATGTATGGTTGAAAGATGGACAAGTCTATTTTAAGTTATAAAGCATGGTTAAGGTTAAAGACCTCTTTAATCATTGTGCAAAACAAGGAGCTTATGTGTTTTAGCCATTCCTCCACAGAAATTTTGGTCAAATCAATCCAGCACTGCTGCACAATATTTCTCAACTCCTTGAAGAGATTATCATCATTTACTTCAACTGTAAATTTAGAATTGCACTATTTATTCCATTTACTGGTGTCAGTTTACCTTTTATTTCTGTGATGTGTGGTGAGTTATGCAGTTCAACATGCTCCACTCTTTGAGGACTGTTTTGATTAGAGTTTGGTGCACTGGTCTTGTGACGTGGGGACCGGCCCAGTCTTGCTTCAGGCGACCCTGAGTTCTCCAGGAATTGGGCGTACTCACTAGATGAACTACATGTTGCACTTGCTGTCCTCTATACAACACAAATATTTTATAAAATCTACATTTATGTTCTTAGTTGTGAAATGTCTTATAGACAGAAAATACTAAAGATCTTGTTTTTAATTCGAGAACAGAATAGATGGCCCTTTGACCAAACATTTGTACTGACCGGGGACCATCAACTGAACACTTTTTGAACATTTTTCCGTTCAGATTTCATAATTTTTAACCTAGAGACCTAAAAATTTTACACAGTCAGCTTGGTATTCTCCTAACTTACAAACTAGTTTGTTCATTTCTGAATGTATTGACACTTATATCTGAGGCTCGACAAGGAGGGTATCAAAATTACCTATCTACACTACAGTACCATGTGTCCGGACAGATATGTACATGACCTGATTTAATTCAGATAAAAGCTTGAGTGTTTTGATTTTTTATTTTTAACATGATATACAATATGTCAGCAACAAATGCTGAAGTTCTGGATATTCTATTGTTTACTCTGCTGATGATAATAGCTGGTATATGAGGTCAGGCATTGCTTTCTTGACCCCCAAATTTCAATGTCAACATTCTTGAAATAGACATTACAATATTACCAATTATGGATGTTGAAATAAATTAATTTACTTAATTTTAAAAGAAACATGCATTTATTGTTGATAAAAAGTGACTGACAACCACTGAACAAAGAAAATACTAAATTAAGCATTTTCTGGGCCGTCCGGGTTTGATGGTTGTCCGGTTTTGGTGGTCCCCAACCAGTACAACTGTTAGATTAAGATTATTTTAATAAATAAATACCCTACATGAATGCAAAATAAATATTTAAAACAATATCAAAATTTTATGAAAATTCAATGATAAAGAGGCATGTAACTTTAATAGACAATGCTTGTTTAAATGTGATAAAAATTTTGCTAAAATTATTCAAACATAACTTACTTAAAACAAACCGAAACAATTAGACTTACATTTGTACGAACACGTTTCTCGTTATCTCGAAGCCACTGAAGATAAGATTCCCTTGCTACCTGTTCTTGTATTGTCTCTTGTGTGACTTCCCAGTCCGTTTCTCTTAACTTGTCTTCCAACATAGCCTACAGTATGTACAAATTAACTCAATAATTCATAGGTTACAATTTAACGCATATTTGAAGGGGAGTGTTGGCCTAATGGTTAAGGTGTCTGTCTCTCAACCCAGGGATCATGGGTTCCAGCCCTACTGGGGTCACAACCATGTTTCTTCATACATGTATGACACCAGTACCAGTTGGTTCCAGGAACCTGACTCGAAAGTGATTAATATAAGTTGCAAGAACTTGTTACGCAACTGAGCTTAAATAAACCAATTTAACGCACTGGTAACTGCTTACTTTTCCTGCAATTTTAACACATTTTACAGCGTACCTCGGCAGCTGGTCAACCTAACCAATTTTCCTGGATAACATACCGGTATTTATCATTTTCTCCGCAAGTGATCAACTACTTATCCTTTATGACTTCCTTACGAGTTCCTTAATCACAAGTATATAGCCAGGCCAGTCAGTACATCTGGACAATTTGATAGAAGTCTGTTTTTGGACTGCTAGAATTTAGCATTTTCGCATCCAAACTTCTCACATTAAAAATGGAATGTTTGGACTGTTCCATGTTAATAACAGGATAAGTCAATTACACAAAGTCAGCATGATAAGATTTTAGTTCAATGACCAAGTTAAAATATTTAACAGAATGAACTGGTCTAAAACACTGTATCTGATTGGTGAATTTTGAGTACACTGACCAGTACTTACTTGAAACTGACCCATTTTACTTGACTGCCTTATGCAAGATAGGAAAAAGTTAAAATATGAGATTTTTCAAGTTTACCTGTTCTATATGGAGTTCCTCTGATTGTCTTGTAGCGTCATGGACAAGATGTTTCTCTGCCAGCTGAAATGTTACATCGACATTTGGTAATGTAATATAATGAAAGATTAGCACAACCTACTTCTTACATGATTACACAGACATATAGTATATATGTATTTCTAAGGTTTAACACAACCTTTTACCTATACATTAATATTATATGAGAAAATAATTCAGGGTTGAAAAGAAAATTTCGCAACAGATTCCAATATTTTCTTTTGTGTTAAAGATTGAATTTTGCAAAAGCCAGAGCTAGCCAGTAACTGATAACTTTTTGTTAAGCGTTACCTATATGTACTGCTTATTTTCAACAATCTATTTTTGTTTTCACAGCTCTTGTGTAAATGAAATTAATAATGTTGATAAACATCATATCTGTTAAGCTAAATACAAATTAAAACTTTTAAAAATTGCTAAATGACCTAAGACTTATTAAAACCCTAACAAGCGTTTAATATCTTAAATGGACTTTTTCATTTTTCAATCTAGACAAAACCACTTATCATTTTTAAGGGAAAATTTCTATATATGTACAGACTGAATAAGTGACAAGTGTAGACCATGATCAGAAGGCACAGATGTGCCGGCTGATCTGGTAGATTCAGTTGCCACTAGCAGGCTTTTCATCTGTCTTAATTCAAGTTAGAAGCTGTTGAATTTTATTTTAAATTATCTTTAAGTTGAATTGATAACGCAAAGTATTATTCACACGGTCAAACAAGCTGCTCTTTAAAGTGCTTAAAGGAATGCATCAGTCTTTAGCATAACCAAACATTTAGCACAGAACCACACCAAACACAGCCTTTTTACTCAAATTACTGTGCGTAATGATGTGTATATATATATTCAAGTTGCCAGAAAAAAAAAATGTTTTTTTTTTTCATTCTTGCATATAATCTACAACTATAATTAAAAGCATATAATCTACATCCACAACTAAAAATAATACTTCCTTTACAAGAAGATATCAAGGTATTCTTACCCCTGGTTGGAAATTAGCTACTGGCAAACCGAGACCAACTCCAATAGTTTGTTTGTATGGATCTATCACACCATTGTAATGTACATTGCTGTGGTAACTTAATCGTATCGGCTCATTGTCTGTCTTATATGAGCTGTGGAACGTATTTATTGGTTCTGAAATGAAACATTTTTTATAAAATTAAAACACAAAAGCCCATCTCTTAGCACTTTGTGCTTGTTCAGATTGGCAAAACAGAATAAGGTAGGAAGAAAAACTTTAATACAAACATTTTGTTCCAAGTTGAGCTAACAATGTATCAGGGTCCACAGAAATTTTTTATGCTAATAAAATGTTCAGGTAGTATTTGCTAAGTAAAGTTATTAAGAGCTTCCATTAGTGGAGTTTGGGAGTCAATTACTTCTGATTTTGGCATGTAACTTCCATAATATAACCCTTTTTCTTCTTTACCCATTTATTTCATGCTTTCCAGTGTTTTATTGTAATATATCAGATGATTATATTCTGATAAACCACTAGTGAAATTTATAAAATATAATTTTCACTGTAGCCGGACTATATCTGAATGCAGATGAAAAGAAAATCAAAACTGAATGGAATAACAGGCAAAAATAAATGCTGTCATGCGTAAATTTTGCTTCTTTCGGAAAAGAAAGTCGATGTCACCATACATTATGTTAAAAATGTAACAAAATTAGAGAAATTTAACAGAACTATATTTCAAACTTGTTGATGTGACGTCATGATGTGATGACGTCACAAAGGAGAATGCGCGACGTTACGCGGCAAAATCAGTAAAAATTACTTAAATTACTTAAAACGCATGAAATAAAAAGAAAATTTATTTGTTTTACATTTAAGATTGAAATATATTTCATTCGTGAACACCAGCTATTATATTTTCACTCGTGGCTACGCCACTCGTGAAAATATTGCATCTGGTGTTCACTCAGTGAAATTATATTTCAATCTTACATGCAAAACAAACAAATATCCTCTATATAATGTTAGTTCCAGTGTTAGACATTTTGCAGTCACTGACTTCCAAATTTTAGGACTTAATGGAAGCCCTGGTTATTGTGTATGAGTTTGCACATTTTTTTCAGCTATTATAACAAACTTTACAGATTTTGCAAAGTATTTTGCTACAGTAAATTGCTAACATTTTGTGCGTCTTAACACTATGTTTGTTTAGTGCAATTGACGTCAGTCAAAATATAGGCACAGTCGTTTAATTTCATATTTAGTCACAAAAACGGCACAGGTAAGTGATAAATATATATATATATATATATAAATATATATATACAAAACAAGAAGAGTTCATTTTTCTGTACACATATGAAGCATCTAAATTCCTTGGAAACAAACCTTACCTATACTATACTGATAGACCTCTATAGGTCTGTTGTAAATCTCACACATGGCTTGAATCTCGAGATGGTTGCCATGACAATGATCCATTCGTTTACGATTAAGATATGTAGTAAAATCCTCTGTCACATAATGGGAGTAATAATCAGCATTCTTTGCCTTAAAACAAAATAATCAAGTTGTTATCATTGATAATCCCGGCATGAAATCATACCCATTTAAAACATGTATATTTTCTTGTCACAGCAACAATTTTTCAATGTCATGTCAAAGAAACAAAAACTAGAATATAAACGTGGCATTATCCAATACTAAGGCTCCCACGTTTACAATTTTTTGTAAACGTTTACACGACTGCTAAGAACTGAAACGATACCGTTTAAACAGTGGTACCTCTATGTACTATACACACCATGTATTTGAGTCGCCAAATGATGTCTTTCTTTCTATTTTTAATACATGTACAAATAAAGAATGTGCAAGGCTCATCACGATTGAGTCAGCACACATTTTTTGCATTGTAACCCCATTTTTTACCAAAAATGTGTTATGTCACAAGCAATTTTGCATGGTAATGCTGTGTGGAGGGTTGTAAACACCCATTTTCCGTTTGTTTACTTTGGAATAAACCACTAGAATTGATAAAATCCATGATTACAGGCAATGTAATTTTGTAAGACAATATGGTCATTTCGATTAAACGGTAAACAATATCGTAAACGTTTATGAATGAAAATCGAAACGAATCCGTTTAAACGTGTAATCGTGGGGGCCTTACCCAATACCAGAAATAATGTCAACAAAAAATACTTTTGTCTTGAAACTTTATGCACAATAAAATGTTTAAATCTCTTGCACCACTTCCAAACTTCATTTCTTATGTGTTATGTAATTAAAGTGTGATTTGTCTTGCCTTAAAAGAAATAAAATAAAACTGAGAGTTGGAATAACTATCAAGCCATTTATTATAATTCAGTAGTAAATACAAAATTACCAGATATTCTATACACTGTTTTCTCACAGTACTGTGCATTTCTTGGTCACCATAAACTTGATCAGCTGAAATTCAAAAGGTAACAATAACTTGCATAGTTTGTTTTATGTTTTATATAAAAGAATTGCTAAAATCCAGAATTAATATATTTATATTCATTATAAAAGAAGGTTACATGTTGAGCTTTAAGTAACAGTCACAATGTTAAGGTCATATGGCAACTTGTAGTTGCGGGGACATTTATTCATGCACAAGCAGGCACTTATCTGGAAAGCTTCTATATATACACGAAAGATTATGTTTGTTGCATTATATGAGCAATTTCCTCAAATGAATCTTGACATCCTGACATGATTTGTATCTACAGCAGAGACTTGCACCAGCCTTCATATTTGTGTTTTATTCACCATAATATTCATGGCTGGCAACCAATTTTAGTACTTTGATTATTTGATCATAACAACTGATGAAGTGAAACATATTCTGATAAGCCGTGTTGGTTTGTGATCTTTTTTTCAATATCACTACTTGATCTTGAAATCCAATAATCTGACACCAGACAATTTTTTGTCCATTACACAAAATCAGGAAGGCAATTTCAAGATGTGTAAACAAGCCAATTTTCTAATTAATTATCTTAATTCAAAAATGTCTTCTGTAATAGGTATTTAAAGAAGATTAAAACTTAATTTAAGTTCTTACCAACTGCTCTAAACAAACAGGCACCATCTTCTCCCATCTTTTTTATTGTAAAACCTTTCTTTTCCTTGATAGCATTTTCAAACCATTTCTCAACCTAAAAAAAAGAGAGAAAATAAAAACAACATAAAAATTAAACATAAATGAAAAGTTTCAACTCAGTACATAACATCAAGTAATTTCTTCTTAAGCTGTAGAAATGTACCCTGTTTAGATTAAATTATTTATTATTAATTGAAGAAATACATTTTGAGCTGACTCTTTCAAAAATTATATTACTATAAGTTGCTTACTCAGAATCTGATTAATAGGATGTGCTCAAGATTTTTTTTTAAATCTAACAAATGCTCTCTTATATATAATCAAAACATGAGTTAATGGTGCAATTTAAACTGGCATTTTAATTTTATCAGTTTTTGGAAAAAAAAATAGTTTTTAAGCATTTGTGGAAAGTTTTCTTCTTTGTCAGTTTGAGTTTTCCAGAAATACAACGTTGAATTGTCCTTTCTTTAAAATGACGCATGATGCCTATTCTTTTAATTGTTCATTTGTGTTCATTTGTTGTATTTTGTCAAGCATCATTCTACAAATTTAGTCATGCACCTGCTATTGTTGATACAATTTTGTAATAACTCGGAAAATCACACTCAAAGAATTTTCAACTCGGGTGAACCCGGAAACAGAGATACACCAAAGTGGACCTTACATATCCACTATCATAAAATTTATTGTGTTTGGAATAAGCTTCAAAGAATAGTTTTATGAAGGAAGTGGCTAGCCGCATCTGTCCATACTGCTAGCCAAAAGTTATAACCTAACGCGAGTCATTAAGATTTATGTTTCGAAATTTTGGCTGGCAATACAGGCGCCTATGGCTAGCCACTGCCTTAAAATTATGAAACCACTAAATGATCGAAAATAAACAGATAAATTTTATATCTTTACATCTTCAATATTCTCTGGATGCGCAGGTGGTACATGCTCGTCATCACTATTGTGCCGGACGTCATCATCTTCGTATGACACATTCTGCTGTGGGTTGTTTGGTGTGGGCACAGGGGTGTGGGTATGGGCACTATGAGTATGACCCCCTCTGTGTTTTCTTGAATGGTTTCTATGGGGTGACGATCGATGTCGCCTTTTATTATGTCCAGAAGTGCTTTCTAATGGATCGTAAGTATTTCCAGGGTCATGTGATGGATGGACATCCTCCCTAGTGCTTGCTGGCAGCGCGTTCCTTGCTCGGGCTACCTTGTCATGACGGCTATCTGAAGTCGACGGGTGGTGACGAGAATGGTTGTGATGGGGAAGAGTATGATCTACGTTCTCGCTCTCATTTTTCTCTTTTGTGACCTTCTTCTTAGGTAAAATTGTCATTTTGAAGTAGAATAATGCTTACTCACAAAGTATGCAGCAGTAACCTTTCAATAATTGTAATAATGAAATAAATAATTGCTTTTAAAAATGGGCTATTCTGTGTCAGTTTTCTACGATATTGACGACAGCCATACTTGTGACGTCATGTATTATTTTGATGAAGAGCGCCACCTGTAACTTTAACACGGAAATCGAAATGTAAAAATCGGAAAATTCTGCGAAATGGTTAATAATGGGAGAACATCACTAAATATTTCCTTTTCTCAATATGGAACAAGCTTTAAAGAAACAATAAGAAGTAAGAATACAAATGAAGTCCAATTTGGCTATGGACTTGATATATGTTTGACACCAACTTACAGTATGCAAACACTACTATAACTTACGCGTCATTGGAAGGTATGTTTAGTAGACTTTTAAAAGTTCAATCTAGCCTGATAGGAGATTATCCAGAGATTTTATAAACAATTAAAAACTATAAAAACTGTTTAACGAGAGACCTAGCAAATGTCTGGTGTTTTTATTGTTACAAAGGACACACTTGACGTACAATAGTTTTTTTTAATTAACGTATTTTTTTTAAACTTTCATAATAAATAGCATTTAATTATCAGTACAGAAATGTTGCTTTATAAATATCGACCAGTCATAAATATATCACAGTTTAGGCCTACATTGATGAATAAATGGGCTACTAAAACTTTTAATTAACGCCCGCGACACAATTGTACTTGTAACGAATACCATTTTATTTTCATATGTCCAATGTATGCTTTACTTAGAAACCAGTATATTCCTAGGTATTATCATAGACAACTGAGTATGCTCAAACTCACATATTTGTTGAATTCTACAAATGTAAAGGTCTTAAACAAATTTTTTGCAGAAATGCTTTTAAATTAAGAACAAATGAATTAAATTCTTTGTAATGATCTGATGAAATATGTAAAGTTGTTTGCATGATTATAATTATGATATTTACATTATTACTATGTGCATGTAAAATTTGTTGTATGTAACGATGAACTGTAAATGTTCAAGTTAGATTCAAATAGAATTTCTGTTCTGTTCTGTAACTCATTGAAGAAAATGATCAAAATAAGGGAATGCGAAATGGATGTAACACATATAGACTTTCATAATTTGAGTAAATTGATTTCTTGGGTGGATTTTGAGAAATTCGACCTGACTGAATCTATTCAGAGTTGATTGTTTTTTAAGTTAATTGACGGATTTATATTACATATAAATCTGTGGTTAATTTAAGATTCCAGGCACCGACTAAAGCATTATTCAGTCTTCTTTATTAATAGGTTGATCAGACATGACAACACTAAGATTATGCAGTCAACTATTATTTTGACTCCTCATGGCATTTTTATTTTGCATGGCGAGTATAAGAATACTAAAAATAAAGATTTCTTCTACAAGACTAACATGTAGTTCTATATTGACTGTTGTCATTTTTGACTGCCAAGTTGACAGCGATAAATTTAACTGGTATTTCTGATAAGTAATTAATTAGGTCTGTATGAAATTCGTCTAAATATGTTTAATTATTTGCCATTGACAATGAAAAGTATGATAATAACATTACATGTTAGGAAACTGAATTAAGAAGACTTTTAGACGTTTGCATTGAATAATAATTAATCTTTATAATAATAATAACTACATGTACGTGTTTGTGTGACATAATCATTGATCATATAGCGAAAGACTTGTATGGACTATGGACGGTGAAAGACATTGCCATGCTGGTCAAATAATTGACCACGCATGGGCCATGAAAATGGTTCAATGAAAAAGTATTTTTTTTTTACAGAAATTAACCTGTCTGAATATTTATGAGATATATGATATAATTATATTTCACACCATAAGATATATAAGTATCTTTCAAAAATACAACGTAAGCACAGCACACAAAAAGGACATTCATTCTTTCTTTCTTTCTTTCTGTGTAAACTCATGTTCATTAACCTTCATGTAAGTACTGTATCATGTAAATGTAATACATGTAATAGTAAATAATGATGTATTTTCTTTAGTTTTCTAATTGTTTAAAGACCAACAGCGACCTCTATATAGGTAATAACATGTCTGCAAATTTGCAAATTACTTTGCGTTCCAAGATTACATTAGGTACTACTGTAAGAAATGTATAACTTTCATAAGTTTTAAAGGGACTCCACTGAGGTTTTTTGACATGACGGGACTGGAAACATTTTCAAGAGATTTATGTAATGTACCATTTGATCTAGGACTTGACCAATAACTTGGGTGCAAATATTCAGATAATTCCCTCATTCCGTTTCCCAAAAATAATAATTTTTATTGTGCAAATTGACCCAAAATGAACAGCGTGGTAACGCTTGGCACTCAAAAATCGATTATTGATTAATTCGATCTGAATATATTTTCTTATTTTTCTTTACAGTTTTTTTTTATTGTTAGTGCTTTGCTTGATCAATGCAAGTATTTCAAATTTCATGTTCTCTCAGAAGAGCTCCTTTATTATAAGAAGTGTATTTTTTCCGAGACTAAAATGTAGGATCAGAGACTGAAATTTAGGATCAGAGACTAAATTTTAGGTAGAGATGGTACTTTAACATATACAAAATATTATACATACTGCATATATACAAACAGACATACTACTAAGCTCTAAGTGAATTGCTCCTATTATCACACAGTTAATTACATTGCTCGGTGTTATATCTGTATCAACCTCTCCCTGATGTTAGTATACGTACGTAACCGAACATCACCGAATGTACGCACGTGCCATGTATTAATTCATGATTGTTACCAGGCTGTGTTACCTATTGGAAATAACACCAACATGATTTCGTCGTGACCTCTGTTAGTTCTAGTGTAGATAAATGTGGATTATAAACGGACTATAACTTTCCAACTTCGTGAGAAGAGTAAGTTGAAATTAATATTACATTTGATATAAATTGAAAATAGTTCCTCTTTATTATTTCGCTTGCAAATCGAATTAATATGAGATATATACATTTGCATTACAAATAACATTCGAGAACAGGAAAAGACAAGAACACAAGAAGGAAAGGAGCATGTTCGATAAACTAGTAGATTGAAAAGATTAGGGAAAAAAAACATGATAAAATTAGAGGACAGAGAGGGGTTGATGGGGGGAGCAATGTCATGTGAAGGGTTTCCTAACATTCTTTAACGTTGTGCCTATTATTTGGATAGGGTAGTGATGCATGGGTTTGATTGTGGTAATGTAATAAAACTTATGGATATACCATTGTTAGATGGTATCATTCCGAAACAGACAAAAATCATGCACATTTATGATCTGACGGCGTTACACAAATGTAGAAAGGGTGTTTTCCAGTTGCCTTTGTAAATGTATTTATGTTGAAATGATATATGTCATTTTGGAGGAAAAGCATTTTTAAAATGTAGTTCTATGTAGATATGATAATTTTTATTTAAAACTGCCTTCATATTGCAGTAAAGCAATACCAGTTTAATGCACTACATTGTTGGTTAAATCAATGTAAAGATGAAGAATTTAATTGACATATGACGTTTAAATGATTCATTTCACCCCTGGTATTAAAATATTGTTAAAGAACTTAATATTGTCTATCATTGCGACAAACTAATGTATAAATAATGTTTGCATTTGGATTAACGTTAAATAAATGTAGAAATGTGATTTTTGCATTGGGTATTATTAATAATAATGGTATGAATAATGAAATATTGTTTTAGTTATGATATTTCCATTGTAGCAATGATATCTCACAGGGAGATTGAACCAATGTAGAAGAGATTATAACATAGAAGAAATGATATTTTCACTGGAGGATAAAAACAAAATAGAAATGGTGTTTTAACTGCGGTATTGAACTAGTGCAGAAATGATATTTTCATTGAGGATAATGACAAAGTAGAAACTGATATTTTCATAGGAGGTTATACCAAAGTTGAAATGATTTTTTCCCCTGGGGAAGAACAATGTAGAAATGATATTTCATCGAGAATTATACCAAAGTAGAAATGATATGTTTACTTTGGAATTATAACAATGTAGAAATGATATTTTCACTAGGGGGTTAGAAAATGTAGAACTGTTTTCACTTTGGGATTAGAACAATGTAGAAATGATATTTTCATTGGGGAAAATACCAAAGTAGAAATATGATATTTTCATTGGGGAATTTTAACAATGTAGAAATGATATTCTTATTATGGGTTTAACCTACGTAGAAATAAAGTTTTGTTGTGAAACTTGTGTAGAAACGTTGCTTTTTTACGGTGATAAAACCAACCTTCCGGTGTGAGGTTGGAGGGGGCGGATAAAACCATTGTAGAAATGGGATATGAATCAATGCCAAAAAATTGTAAAAATATTGCACATTTGATCATGCATTCAGTGGTGTTACAGCATGAATTGCGATACCAAATTTAGATTATAGTTACTAATGAAGTCTTAATACGAAATAATCACTACATTGTTCATATATTGATGAAAAATAAGCTAACATTTTGATGTATTATGAGGATAGATGTAATTTGTAATGATGCTTGACTAGTTTATTTCAGAGAAATTCAAATAGATGTTAAAACGTAAATTAAATACTGCAATTCTTTTAATGTTACCGGTATTCATATAAATAGACATGTAAAGTAAATTAAACGGCTGATATTTCAATTCCTGTGTTCATTGAAGTGTTGACGCCTTTTTTAAAAAAAAATAAAACATTTTGTTCAGATTGGTGCGTAAAGATAATTCATTTTTGCATAACAATTAATAATTTGATAAATAGAATGCGAACGTATAACTTTCGTTTTGGAGCGAACGAAGTTTTTATTCTGATGGCGGTGTGTTTCCACTCAACCATTGATACTTTATACTGCCAGCCTTCTTGAACTTACAATTGAAATTATATAAATGTTGCTGATTATATTCTTTCAGCGATACGAACGGAATATTCCACTTTAACGGATTTATCAAAGTAGGCGATATATTTATAAAGAGGATATTTGTTTAGTTCAGTGTAATATCGAAATATATTTCACCGAGTGAGCATCAAAAGGTATATTTCACGAGTGGCGCAGCCACGAGTGAAATATGAACTTTTGGTGTTCACAAGGTGAAATATAAAGTGGTACTTTGGTTGTTTAGAACCATTAGCTCTTATAATATCGCACATTCTTTATGATTTGCATACATGTGTTAGATAATTTAAAAATATTCAGGTGTAAAATATATGATTTGTCATTGATTACATATATATATTCATTGAAAAACAGCATATGTAAAATATCCAATGAAATCTCTGGGTAATTGTGTAAGGTGTTTATACAGAAACATAGGTAAATGTTAGCTAAATAAGTTCCATATGTTTCTATCTATCTCCGTCTGTTGTGGCGCGTGCAAATATACAGTGGTAGCTAGTTTTTTGTGATCAATTGGTATATTGAGCGACTATCTCTCAGAATATGCGGGTAATATATTGGAATCGTTCCAGGTAACATGCGCCGAGATGTTATTATACGAAGAGAGATAAGCATTGAGTATACTCTTTGTACCGAACAACTGACATGAAAAAATAAGAGTTTTATATACTTTTAATTGCGCGTTTTTTACCGGGTAAACGTCTGCTCAGATGCTATCATGCAGTGCATCGTATTCTTTTTAGAGAACTGAAAACGCGTTCCATAGTTACAGATACTTTAAAAAGATACTCGGCCGAAGTAAAACTGGTTAACATGCAAAATTATGTTATTTCTTAGTTATCAATACAAAAAGAAATGTTAGCAATGCTTGCATAACAATGCATAATAATGAGTTCTTGTAGCTAAGAAAATACCCATTTTGTAAACATTGAAATTAAATCATAGCATATTGATATTGATGATTTTTCAAAGTAGGAGGTGTCCCTTTACTATCCTTTACATTTATTTTATAGTGGCAAAACTATCCCTTACATTTTATCTTAGAGCTATCTTACATTTTACAATAGAATGGTTAGAACTGTCTTTTAGAATGACCAATGAGATTCGCCGATTTCAGTTTGTAATTTTAAAATGACCAATGAAAATTCTTCTTATATTTAGTCCTTCCCTGTTAATTTTACATGAAGTCAAACTCATAACAGGCGGACTTCGTCCGAAAAATAATTAAATTACCGTGGAAAAATGTACATGTACTGGCATGTCCAGCTAGAATGATGTTTCCTTTTCTTATGTTTTTTGTTTGTTTTTGTTTTATTTTTGTAATCATGCGTAGGTTTATATTATAATATTATTAGTTATAATAAGATTATTATTGTTATCTGATTTTTACATTCAATCTTACATATTTATTTTAATGTCACGAAAAAAACTTTATATATACTTTAAAAGTTACTGAATGTATATAGAGATACACATTGATGTTATTTTAATGTCCGTCTCTTTATATATAAATGTCCATCTTTGTATACATAAATACCCGTCTCTGCAGGTATATATAAATGTCCGTCTCTGTATATTTAAATGCCCGTCTCTGTATATTGAATTGTCTGTCTCTGTATATTTAAATGCCCGTCCCTGACTATTTAATTAAATGCCCGTCTCTGTATATTTTGATGCCCGTCTCTGTATATTTAAATGTTCGTCTCTGTATATTTTGATGCCCGTCTCTGTATATTTAAATGTTCGTCTCTGTATATTTTAATGCCCGTCTCTGTATATTTAATTGTCCTTCTATGTATATTTTGATGCTTGTCTATGTATATCATAATGCCCGTCTCTGTATATTGAATTGTCCGTCTCTGTATATATAATGCCCGTCTATGTACATGTATGTAATGTATAAATGTCTGACTCTACATATTTAAATACCAGTTTTTTCTGTTTTTTATACTGCCCGTCTCTGTACATATATAATGCCCGTCTCTGTATATATAAATGTCTGACTCTGCATAATAAATGCTCGTCTCTGTATATATAACAGGAGGATGGGGCCCAACGAGGAGAAGCAGACGTGTATTTACACTTTAACAACAGACAAGGCGTTACCGGAAGACAATGGTTTATGGAAATGTGAGGTAACCAACAGTCATGGAGTGACGTCTGCTACATGCACAGTCAGAGTGTTAGGTAAACCGCTAACAACAATATTTAGTCCTTGAAAGGGTATACAGGTTTAGTTGGCTGTCTGTAATTGGCAAACTATTTATTCGTAGCTGAAGGAAAAAAGCACTATTTGGAATTATTGAATATTAATGTACTTAATTTGACAGACTGACGATTTGTAAACTTTCAGTTAAAAATATGACTTGACCCGCGTATCGGTAAATGTAATAAATGTAATAAAATGGTAGTTAGATATTTTGCTAGGGAACGTTTCATTTTGTTTTTAATATAAACAAAGTGCATTAAATAACAAAGTTACTTTTTGCTGAAACTGTTTCTAGATATGGTCATAAGAATTCGAAAACAACATGACTTTTCGGTATTCTGAAGGTTTTACAGTACACTTACACAGTATCTCATTGCCAGCGTACATACTTAATTAAAAAATATTGGCACCGGTGATTTGAAGTCAACAATACACTGGATATTTCTGGAAAGGACAAGATGGCGAAAGGGGATGCAAGACTAATGGGGAAATGAAAGTTTTATTCAGAATGAGGGTACATGAATACATGTACAGGGCCTATATAAACTAGCCTGTACAGTTTTTACTAGTTAAATACAATGGTTGATAAAAAGAAGAAGAAAAGAAATTTAGTGCTACTTTCTGCACAAGGAACTCTTTGATATCAATACGCCAGTAATTTGTCCATTGTTGTCACACGAAAGCAGCTGTAAAATGGTCATTTTGTGGCGCAACTTTGCCGCTGTACATGCACATGTGCACAAAAGCCGAGGAGTTACCGATAAATTTCAAATAGCCCCCTTTTGAAATGTACTAACGCTGATAAAATGTCTTTAAAGGAAATTTCATTTACTGCTGTGCCTTAGTATCATACATGTCTACTATTTAATTGCTACATACTTGTATACCATCATAGGTAATTATGAATTATAAACATTATTATCATTTATTTTATGCTTTTCAGTGGATTACTGATTTATCCGTGAAAAATATATTTGATAATTTCACAGTGAAAATTATCAAAATATAATTTCACTTTTTTCAATGACGAAACTACTTTTTTAAGATTTTCCCCATGTGGTACCTCAATTTTATTTTTACTGACAATTCTGACAATGTCAGGCTGTTAAAAGAAATAGCAAAGCTTAAATAGATAAATAACTTAAATATCAAAAGTAATAAAGAGAGAAAACTTACTTCTATTCATTCAAATTCCAATCACCAAATTTCGTCTCTAATTTTTTTGTTTCGTTTTTACAGTCTGAAAAATACATTCCTTTCCCATGCAGAACTGCTCTTGATGACATTTGGGCATATTAAAGTATCCTACGAGCAATAACTGCCGTATGCTTTATGAAAAATTGAAAAGCATTGACAGTCATCACTCGTAGAATAAGTAAAACAACCCAGCGTTCCTTAACAAGCTTCCAAGTTTTCCATTTTCCTAGCTCCTTTTCTGATAGTCCAATATATTAGACGTTACAGGCTTGTTATAGTTTATGTCGGTCAAGCCTGACGTCTAATAGCTATTGCTCAAAAACGCATAGCATCATAAAAAATTTAAAAAATGTCTATTGTCTTGCCTTTCAAGCTTTATTCAAAAGCTTATCTTATTTTCTTTCAATTTCATGCTCAATCATACACAAAAACTCCCAAACAATGTACTTTTCAATTTAAAATAAAATATGAACATCAATCTATTTTTGTCTATCAGCCATACTGGTTATGCAAGGTGCTTTACAGATTGATTCCAAATTTTTGAACGGAAAAATATATACTAACACACTGACGGTGCATGGGCAATTATTTCGTTAAAAAAAATATTCCGTTAGATTGTTCTGACTCAGTTAAACGCTTGCATTTGAATTAGCCAATCAGATTTCGCGCACTTTATGGCCGCCATTTGTTTATCGGATGTAAAAAGAATTGAAATACATGAGAGGATTTAATCATGATTTTTCGGATGTGACAGTTTAATTATTTTGACAAAAGGTATTTAGTTTTGTTCATAAATTGGTCAAAACTTATGTAAATACACGCCGTCTTCATTGTTTTTCGTTCCGCCCGATTTTCTGGCGGAAGATGCTATGGGTTTTTGAGCAATTTCGATATGACGTTGCTTTGCCCAGAAGCAAAAATATCTCAAAGCGACGTCATATTTATAGGACTACTTTTCTGAATGTTTTCACTTCTGTCAACATTTATTTTTTGCCTGTTACAATCCTCAAATAAGTTTTCTTTCTTTTAAAAAGGTGTATGACTAACAAATCCAAATTATATCCCTCTGAATCTGACACAATTATTTTCCTCCCATGAAATACACAACTTTAAAAAATGGCTGCCGCTTACATTTTACAAAGCCAGGTCTAATATAAATTTGCAGTAAGTAACAGAAATATGGATGGATGGTTGGACTTTTTCTCCTACAAGAATTGTTTGTTTTCATTATTAAAACAAGCAATCATTCATATTTTTTTAATAAAATGAATAAATATCACCGTCATTTAACCTTGATTGGCGGACTTATTTTTCAGCTCAAGACTTCTTGTTTTTAATGAGAAATTCCGTCTAAATGGGGCTCTCAATGGGGGAAACAAATTTTAATATTAACGTTAAAATTATGGAAATTTCGTTTTAACTTGTTTTTAAGCATAAAATAAAAAGAAAATTTGTCTGTTTGTTGTGTAAGATGTAATTTTATTTCATCTCGTGAACTTTAATAAAGTTTCCTTTTAAAAGGAAAGGCTTGCACAGTTGTGCCTTCATAAAGTGTTTATTTAGTTGTTTTTTTTTTGTTTTTTTTTTGTAAAAACGAATATTTTTTGTCAAAACGATTTGAAATCTATTCTCTATTGTATAAAACTTATAAAGAAAATAATCAATCATAAAAATACTAACTATTCTATCATACTGAAAAGGAAACAAGTGTGCACATTTCATTTCCAGAGAAATCATTCGTTTTGGCAGTTGCTAATTTCATTTATATAGCATCTTTATGGACAAGTAAATGCACTAAAATACTTCGTTACGTGGTACCAATTAATAAGCATGTATCAACTATGTTACACAACCACAGATACGGTAAGGTTAATGATATGCATGGGCTATTTTTAGATTACCTCACTGCGTTCATTAGATCTTAATATAACTCGATCATGCACTAATATTCTCTGTGATTTGGTAAGCAAGACCACCCTTTGGACACGTAACCATCCTCTATTGTATAAGGTATATATGTTAATATACAAAACTAATACAGACAAAAACAATTATAAAAGAAACTAACTTTTGCGTCTTGAAAAAGAATTGAAACGTAACAATTTCGTTTATAATTTATTACGGTTTAAACCGATAAATCAAGTAAAAATAGAAATCCTATTTATATAAATAAACTGGGATTACCGAAGTAACTAAAATAGCTTAGATTTCCGTAATATTACTTCGTCTGATTCCGGAGTATGACGGAATCGCCCGAATTGTCACGATTGCAATCGGAACTACATCGGCTATAATCATTAAACCGAAGAGTGACGGAAAGGGCCAAAAAGTTGCGATTGGCACGATTGCAGCTGGTTTCTCGTTCAATCATGCACTAACAAATGTAAGCAGGAAACCACCTAACCGGAACAAGTTTTCCAAAACAAATGGGCTTGCAGCCGTGGCTGCAAGCCAAAAACAGTATTCTCACTCTAGGCTACGCCACTCGTGAGAATACTGTTTTTAAAGCCCACTCGATGAAATAAAATTTCATCTTACACACACACAAACAAACAAATATCCTCTATGTATTATATTCGACTGATGAAATTAATATACGATAACTTGGTTAGCAGAATATTTCCTCCCTCACCAATAGCTTGATACGGACATAAGGAACAGACCCTATTGATCATAATAATAGGGTCTGTTCCTTATGTCCGTATCAAGCTATTGGTGATGAATTTCACTACAGTAAAAACTCGCTAATGAGACCAATGAAGGGACTTAACAAATCTGGTCTTAATAGCGGGTTGGTCTCATTAATGAGTTTGGCCAAACAAAAAACTAGGCAATATATTAAGGGATACCATGTACTGTACACATGCTTAATTCTGGGCTAACCTATTTCAAATGAGAAGATATAAAGCATACACTATTATTTTTTTTATTTTCATTTCTTTTCTTTTACTTTTTAACATTATAAAATTTGTAAACTTCTTAAGAGGTACAAAATGTATTATGAATGTCTTATGTACTTATTTGAGTGTTCGTACTGTAAATCTCTTCTTCCCAGGTTTTACATTCATCCCAAAATTTTTAAACTTGACACATTAATGAATACTAGTAGTTGTGATAAAAAGATTCTACTAAAATTATCTTTATTTTGTAAAAAACATTATGTTAAAATTTAGATAATTAATACTTCTCATTCTCCGTTCCCATTTGTTACAATATAAAATACATGTATTGAATTCAGTACTTGAAATGAACAATATGATCTCCTTTTTTGTTTATTTAGCTAGTCATAATCTTATATTGGGATATTAGTGATTTTTGACTGTTATTTTTCTGTTTGTTTGTTGTTATAACCAGTTGCATATTATATGCCTTGGTTTAATAAAAACTGAAACTGAAACTTTGTTCACCAAAGATCAATGCGCTTTCAAATCAAAGAGCTGCAAGCTCTGTGGTATTTTCTGATCTTTGCAATCTAAATCGCACTGTATATCTGTATTATTTTCCTGTATAAGTTTATTTTTATGTACTATAATTCTTCTTGCAGGGCACCAGTTTGATACATACGGAATTTTGCATGACTAGAGTTGCATCAAAAATCATTTATGTTCATTTGTATGACAGCCACACTTTATCCTAGCATAACGTGGCTACTTCCTTAACAAAGAAACTTTAAAAAAAAAAAATAAAAAAATAGTTGCCTTGAATGGGATTTGAACCCCAGACCTCTGACACTCTAAAAGAGCGCGTTACCCCTGCACCACGGAGAAGTTATACGAAGGGC